TGATGGATGAACACTTACTTAAGGGTTGGAGTCGCTGAGCGTCTGATAAGCATCGGAGTTGTGCACTCTATTGAAATCAAACTGGGCGGTGGTTTGGTTGGAGTCGCTGAGCGTCTGATAAGCATCGGAGTTGTGCACTCTATTGAAATCAAACTGGTTTCGCGGTGGTTTGACCCCACTGGAGGGTCGAAACAACGGTAAATTTCACCAGGAAATCGGAATACACTCCGATGCCATACTAGAATGAATAAGTCAGTTAGTAGATGAAATAAAGAACTTGCCATGGCCTTGGAGAGCTCTATTGAGTTTACAATGGAGCCAGACAACAGTCGAGTGCAGGGGGTTGTTTGAAGCAGGTGCCAGCTGCCTGTTGAACTGAGCCTGTTAGCACGTCAGTAAATACTTGTGACACATAATACACTGACCTTACATATTACCTCACTGGCACGTGAGTGCCCGGAGCCAACCAACCTAACCAGACCGAACAATTGACTGACTGTTGCCTGCTGACAGACGGCTGACATTCCTTGTCATGAGCGTGGTTTGTCGTAATAGCTCCTCGAGTCGATTGACACCTAACAAGCGCTAGTGATGACGCTGTGTTGATTGTCTAATATAAAAACACTGGTCTTCAAAATATGTATGTACACTCGGCCACAGACTGCGATCAAGTTGAACGACAACAGTTGGCCGAAGCACGTATCCGTCAGTGTTAATGGATGGCCCTGCTTCAAAAATCAATGTTTATCATGACGAGGTGAGTTAAAACAAGAGATCGAAATTTTTCGTTTCTGTGAACGGAAAAGTCCCTAACTTAACGCTTGGATAAAAATCGTAACCCCAGTAAACTTCTCCGGAGATCCATGACAAGGTTCACTAATTTCTTGAAACAATATGCAGCATAAACATATATGAACGGGTTCATCTATCTGAACAGATAACTGGCGTGTTTTAAGGACATCGGCGCATTGTTCATACCAGTTTCATCAGTCGAAAATGTTTAAAAAAGAAAACTTACAACCAGACAACGTTTGGCTGCCCGCCGAATATCTTCGATAATATTTACAGCCACTTCCTCCGACAGTAGTGAACCTTCGAAATCAACCATCGACCGTTGATCCGGCAGCATATGAAGCTTCACTCTCAAGTCGCGTTTGAAATCAGCGATCCTGTGTAAACATACGGCACATAATTAATTGCTTTACTTCGCTCTGACTGGCTCCTAGAAGAGTTAGGCCGGATCTGCGTATACCGCACGACCACGATTGCATGGAGATAGTAAATGAACCTGACAACCATGCGATTTATGACGAAAGTTTCGACCCCAGAAGACCCTTTAACGTAGATGAATCCAAACGTCTTCCCTGATGTACCCCTTTATTTATTTAACTATATGTCATGCAGTGAAGCGTGATGTGCTGCTGTCTTTCAAGCTTTTGGATGCCGATACATCAAGCCCTATGCGCACTCGCGAAGATGCCGGCTGTCACACCATTACCAACTAGATAGGTGCACTTCCCAGGCTTCGTCCAAATCAACCTCCTGCTAGTTGAGTTGACAACAGAGCTGCGGTTTAAAGCATCCAGCAGCTTTAGAAACAACTCTCCAATTGAAATTTAAAAACTCAAATCGGTCGATCTTGGTCATTCTGATTGTCACTTTTTCTACTCAAACCGTGTTCAAGCAAGACGCGAATGATATGAGCCACGGTCCGTAAACCATAGACTATCATTGGACAGTCCTTCGACCAACGAATCTGTTCAGTTGCTCGACCTAGTAGGCTGTACACGGACAAGTCATGGTGTCCCCGAACAAAACCCTACGTCATCCCACTGCCTTGTGGGTCAGACTTTTGAGTCGAAGGCTCAAGGTGGGGTACCTCAACCAAACCCCCTTCCTCGGCCTGGGCAACCGGGAAGTATCATTTGCCCGCGCAGTTCAGCGTCCACCGATGTCCCTCCCCAACCCCTTCCCACTGCACAA